TGCTTTTTCGATCATCCGTATTTCCTCCCCAATCTGCATCACAGTATCCTACTAGATGCGTACTCGTATCCTTTGTGTAATGTAGCCCATAATCAACTGTCCCTTTGACATATTTGATTATCCTTTTTACTGCTAGAAGGTGAGACTTCTTAGGTTTTGCTTGATATCTGGCACATACGCCCATACTTAAGCACAGGTCAGGTCTACTTGCCTTTAAATACAGTAGACTCCCGATCATACTCCTATAGAGTTTTGGATCAACATCTTCTCCTTCATCATCTTTGGTCAACTTGGTGGTTGTGGACATGGGAGTACGTGATGATTTGCTCGTGTCAAGTTCAAATCTTTTCACCAGATTCCGAGCATACTTCCCTTGAGAGACGAAGATTTCATCTTTGTCTTGCTTGACTTGTAGTCCCAGAAAATAACTGAGTTCTCCAAACATACTCATCTCAAACTCAGCAATCATTGTCTGAACAAACCAATCAACCTTTGACTGGGATGTAGATCCAAACACGATATCATCCACATAGATTTGTACTACTAATAGTACATCGTCCGAATTATGGATGAAAAGTGTTTTGTCTACTCCCCCTCTTTTGTAGCCGTTCTCGAGTAGAAAACTGGCTAATCGTTCATACCATGCCCGAGGGGCGTGGTTTAACCCGTAGAGAGCTTTCTTCAATCTGTACATGTGAGTGGGAAAATGTGGATCCTCAAAACCAGAACACTTCTTCTTGGATCACACCATTGAGAAAGGCACTCTTGACATCCATCTGAAACAACTTAAAAGCAAGAAAACACGCAATGCCAAGCAACAATCTAATAGACTCTAGTCGAGCAACGAGTGCAAAAGTTTCATCGAAGTCAATACCTTCAATTTGTGTGTATCCTTGAGCAACTAACCTGGCTTTATTGCGAACTACTTCTCCCGACTCATTTGTTTTGTTTTTGAAAATCCATTTCGTTCCAATCACATTAATGTGATCTGGTGGGGCACAAGATACCACACATCATTTCTCACAGATTGCTCCAGCTCATCGTGCATTGCCTTTACCCAGAATTCGTCCTTCAATGCTTCATCCACTCGAGAAGGTTCATTCTGCGAAGAAAAACACACAAAACGTACCATATCTTGATAATTCATCCTCTTACCTCGTGTACGCATGGGATCGAGTACATTTCCTATCACATCATCTTCGGAATGATTCCTGTGAACTGTAGGTGTAGGAGCAATTTCCAAATCTTCTTCTTCCTTGGTCTCAACTTCTGCATTGTCACTCTGTTCTTCTACCGAGTGCTCACTGGGAACATCGTGAAGTAGTTTCGGCGGGACTTCACTCTGGTCTGCACTATGTTCCTCATCAAAGACAACATTAGCTGATTCCATAATCGTTCTAGTGCGCAAATTGTATACTCGATAGGCAGCAGAGTTCATTGTGTAACCCAAGAACATACCTTCATCACTTTTGGCATCGAACTTTCCTCTGTATTCTCGATCATTCAACACAAAACATCGACAACCAAATATATGAACAAACTTCAGAGGAGGGGTCTTACCTTTCCATATTTCATATGGAATTTTGGCTGTGCCTGGTCTGATATGGACGCGGTTGACAAGGTAGCATGCCGTACTTACCGCTTCTGCCCAGAAACGTTTCGCAACGTTTCTTGCATGTAACATTGTTCTCGCCATTTCTTGCAGTGTCCTATTCTTCCTTTCAACCACTCCATTTTGTTGAGGAGTTTTAGGTGCAGAATACTCGTGGACAATCCCATATTTGTTGCAGAATTCTGCAAACTGTTCATTTTCAAATTCACGCCCATGATCACTCCGAATTCTCTGAACACTTCCTTTTCCATTTCGGAGTTGCAGCCATAAGTGTCCGAATACACCCAATGTTTCTGACTTCTCTCTTAAGAACCTGACCCAAGTAAAACGTGAGAAATCATCAACACATACAAACACATACCTCTTTCCTCCAAGACTCTCTGTCTGCATTGGTCCCATCAAATCCATGTGCATCAACTCAAGGATTTTAGATGTGTGTATCCCATCGATCATTTTATGATTTACCTTGATTTGCTTTCCAAGTTGACATGCTTTACACACCAGTGTTACCTGCGATGATAACTCAGGTAATCCTCGTACAGCATTTGACCTTGACAGCTTTACCAACGACCTTGTGTTAATGTGTCCCAATCGTTGATGCCATAACTCGAGTTCAGAGTCAGCTGCTGTGAAGCACTTCTCACTTTGAGTGTTTTCGTCAGGATTTACCCAAGTGTAGCAATTACTTGGAGTTCTTTTTCTTGTCAACACACAATCTCTAAGAAAATTTGTAACAACACAAGCATCTTTAGTGAAATTTACCTGAAATCCAGAGTCACACAGTTGACTGATGCTTATGAGATTTGCCTTGAGCCCTTGGACAACATTGACATCTGTAAGTTTGGGCAGTCCTGATGCATCTAGATTTCCTTTGCCCAAGATCTTTCCTTTTCTTCCATCTCCAAATGTCACGTTTCCTCCTTTGAGATTTTCTTCGAA